TCAGACTGAGCCGTCTTCTGCGCGACTTCGCAACCTGAAACCAAAGCGTTGATCAGCGACCATGAAAGAGCAATTTGCCGCAGAAAGGTCGCTCCGATCGTGACATATTGTGCGCGCGGCTTTCGCGCAAAAACGATCATCCAATCCCCGCGCGTTGATCCTTTGGTAAGCAAGGAAGTGAAGGGCTTCTTCCGGAGTTGACGGGTTGTAGCCCTTTGTCAGGGGGCTGTGGGATCTCTAGGGTTCCCGCAAATCCATCGATGTAGGAGCCCATCTGCTGCTTTCCTGCATGGCGATCAAACTTTGAACCTGCCAAGCTCCCACATTGCAAAAGTTGCTGCCGGCAAAAGCGCCACACAAAGCACCAGGCCTCTTACAGTACATAGCTCGACAGGAACTCATTGGGCAAGATGGTTCTTAAGGCGGTCGCCGTGCTGCAGGGTCAGAGCGATGTTTCAGGGACAGTCACCTTCACGCAGGATGGAGATGGTGAGCTCTGCTTTTGTTGCATCATTCGAGTTGTGGCGGAGATGAACATGTGGACCTCATCGATGAGCTGAATGTTCCTTCATTGTGGTTGGTTCCGATTCTGGTGAGTTTATTGTTTCTTCTAAGTAGCCTGTTTGGCGAGTTGTAGTGGCCGCACACCTCAATCCTTTCAAATGTCTGCCTACTTGCATCAATTCTGCCTGAGCCGTTCCACTATTCACCCTATGACTTCCATTCCATAGATTGCAGTAATTGTTCTACAATGGTGCTTGTGTGGTTTGTTGATGACAGCCTCTGAGAGTTGGAGATACGACGCATCAGTTTCACTGTTCTTCGCTTTGTAATGCTGTCACGTGAGGCAGTCAAGAATCGCATGCTTCTGCATGCTATATTTGCTTAGGGCATCCACATATCTGTTTCGCCTTAGCGCCACCTGTATTGAAGCTTTTAAGGTTGCTAGTCCTCCCTTTCTGACATCAAAACGATTCCTAAGAATTTTCAGTGGCTTCGGTCATTTGTATCAGTGCAACCTGACGCATCAGCTGCTCCTCCGTTTGGAAAGTTGCTCAAATCTATGCTGAAGGAAATGCTGATGTTGGGGTTGTCTGGAGAAACGTGGTCACCGCATCTAACCAACTCAAGCAGTGGCTCTCAGATTGGTGTGATCGTTCGCACGCGGCGCACATCTAATCACTGTCCACGCAGCAGTTGCAAGTGTCCTGAAACGTCTTCAGTAGTTGAATTGCGCAGAGGCTCAAAACCTCTGAAAAAGTTTACATTGCTCCTCATTCTTCAAGTGAACAGGTCCGACTGAAAGTGGAGGGTCATGCAAGGGCTTGGCATCCCTCGCTCCATTGGCAACTCGGTCTCAAGTGCCTGCAACTAGATCATTAGAAACACTTGTCCCTTTCTCGAAAGAGAATGTCTGGCAGGTCTGCCATGGCTTCTGCTGTCAGACCTTTCGGCAAAGGAGTCTGGTCATCATCTATTTGCGCTTGCAGGTCCTAATCACTTGGAGCGACAAGTATTCAGAAGGACTCCTTCTGTTGGCCCAAGTCAAACAAGTTCAAAGCTTTTAAAGCATTTTCGACACTCCCCTCAATGCTTTTTTATCGCGCCAATGACATGAAGGGGCAGATTAAGGGCCTGCACCCGGGCCCCAGTGCCAAGCAGGAACTAGAAGTGTCAAAGCATCCAGGTCATTGTTGCTCTCATCTTTTTTTCACATCAGCGATCGCTATTGATCCGCAGGTCCCAAAGGGGAGAGGCAAATGAAGGCCAGAAGCGGTGTCATCAAAGTTAGTAAAGGACTGGGCAAGTGAAAAAGCCTTCAAGTCATCACACAAATATTACTGACACTAGCGAAACATTTTGGGTTTGCAGGTCCCACTCACGTGGAGGGGCAGATCAAGGGCCTGAAGCCGGGCCCCCACGGTTTTCACATCCATCAATTGGGGGACACCACCAATGGCTGCATGTCGACCGGTGAGCTTCCACTAGGGGACGGCATAAAGAAGTTGAGATCTACGTGAACTGAGGGAGCTGTTCTGCGGTCTTTGTGATCCTTGTACAGAAGGACAAGGCTCAACTGATTACGTGGCAAGAAATGTTGAAAAGCATTGTTGGTCAATTGGGAATCATCCTTACCCTGACTGGAGGTGCGCAGCATGAACATCAAGTGGCTGTTTTATCGATGTCAAGCCTTTAGTTTAGTCTCGGTTGGCAAGCAGTGGAATGAATGATGAAAGCTTTAGCAAGCTTAAAGAGGGATGATCTACTCACCAATGGCGGAGCCAGAATAACTGACCGGACTTGTGCCTGAATAATCCTCTCAACTGGAATCAGCTTTAGGAACAAAACACCAGGGCCCCATTTCGATCTCACCAAGAGACTCACCGTTCTGCCTTTTAATCACGTCTTAAATTGACACTGGTAAAACACAACCCAAGAAACTCTCCTTTTGGAAGGCCCCCTTACAATTCTTCCCACAGGGCTCGCTTTTCTGATAATCTATCACGGAGCCCCAGGCCGTTCTTTTCCACGCATCTGTAGCTGGAGGAAAGTCGATGCGAGTTTCGAAGTAGCGGAATCCTTAACCTAACTCTGCTCCTTTCCACCACGCCCCCACTTCAACCCCCACCAACAACACCAATGGCTTCCCTTCCACCCCGATTCCAAAGCCAAGAAACGTTTCCACGCCCTCAAAGTTTCAGAGTCAAAGCCTGTATCCCACGCTCCTTTCTTGGCTCCACGTTCCCATGCATCTCCTTCAAGGCCATATGATGCAGACAAACGCAGCAGATTCGCTACTTTTCAATCTAGACACCTTCTACTCACTTCACCTTTAGCCCCACCAACAAGAACCACGGTTCTTCCTCCCAGCCCCAATCATCAATCGCCGCGACTCGCCTTCATGAACATACCTCGTCGCGGGGAAGAAAATCGCGGAATTCCTCACTCCCTCGTGAACTTTCATCAATAATTTTCTTTTCCCCACCAGGCCCCCATTCAGCCCCACCAACAAGAGGTCTGCAGCTCTTTCCTCCACCTCATCCCTAGACCCACAAACCGAAAGCTACGTCTATAAATCCTTCTCATATAAAAAGGTGGCGCAAATTGCTAAGAGCTTGAAATCATCTGTGCAGGCCCGCATTTCAACCCCACTAATAAGACCCACGGCAGCACCAGGGGACGATCAGCGCCACGTGGCCTACTTGGGCGAAAACATAGATGCACAACTCTGGTTTTGCGAACCTCCTGATATCACAAAGTTGTAATTTTCGGCCTTTTCCCACCAGGCTCCTTGTCAACCCCACCAACAAGACCCACGTTTCTCCCTCCCACCCCCCATCATCGGTCGCGACGACTCCCCTTACATGACCATACCTCGTTGCGGAAAAGAAGGTCGCAACCTCAATTTTTTCTTTTTTCTTCACCAGGCCCCCATTTCAACCCCACCAGCAAGGACTACGGCGCGCCTAGCGACAACGGTCGCTACGTGGGCAACTTGGGCCCTCCAGTATATGCAGGAATCTGGGTGTGCTGACCTTACAAAGGCCCCTGAAGTTGAATCATTTTACTATCTTCACCAGGCCCCCATTTCAACCCCACCAGCAAGACCCACGGCGCACCTGGCGACGAGGAGCGTCACGTGGGCGACTTGGGCAACGTGATCGCCGGGGATGACGGCGTCGCCTCGCTCAAGCTCGATGACATCCAGGTGGGCAGCCAATAGCGAATTTGCATATGGGCTCCTTTTTTACATGGTCGTGAAAAACAGCGTCGCTAGATTTTAGGCCACCCTTCAAAGATTGGGCGCCCATACCGAATCCACCCGGGGGCTCGTTTCTTTGGTTTGTTGTGTTTGCTTGCCTATTACCAGCGTCCAGGTTTTGCCTGGTCGCCGCGACGTACAACAATAAGCAGGGGGTCAGCGATAGGTTGTCCGTGCGACGGACTGTTTCTTTGTTTCTAACATTGTCCGCGCGTAGCTAAAACGGTCGCTGGCAAAACTAACCTGGCCGTGTGGAAGACAGACAAACCAGAAGGTTGGGCAACCTTAAGACTGGTATATCCGAATTTTGGACGTTTATAGTTCCGGACGGGCAAATCGAGGAGGTCGCAGCGAACCTTTTGTACGACAAGTGCGGCGCAAAAGTCCCACCGATGGCTTTCTACGAAGACGGCCAGAAGACCGTGCAGCTCACGCAATTATTTTTCGATCTCGGACCAGCCAATCGAGTCTGTGGCTGGACGAGCGCGAGTAACACTTGTTTCGCTCGCGCCTTGTCTCCTGATGGTATTTTGAACGTGACATTGTAATCGATGCGTGAATTGGGTTCACTAAGCCCAGATTTCAAGTTTGCCGGTCCGAGACTAGAAATGTTTGAAGGCGGCCGCACCAGCCATATGTGATCTGGGCTTAGATTTGGTCGGATTGGGACACAAGACGAATGGGAGGCCAGTGACAGGGAAAAAGCTGACGAACTCCACTCCGCTCGGTGCAGATTCCCCTGACCGGGCCCCACTCCATCATTGGCCGCGCGGTCGTGGTCCATGCTGATGTGGACGACCTTGGCAAGGGTAAGAACAACGCTTCTGTCAGTTCAACGTCAGCCGTTTCTGGTGTGTATTCCTGTGGTTGTCCATCTTGTAATAGAGAGGGCGTCTTCCACTTCAGGAGTTACGTGCCGCCGCCCCACCTCCCTCCGGCCCCAATAAAGTGAGGAACTGCGAGCGGCAACTCCGGAAGTCGATTCGTCAAGTTTGGAGTCGACGAAGTTGGGATGGTTTTCTGACGCCCTCTTTGCACGAAGCGAAAAATCCCGCGTGTTCATTGCATTTCTTCTGTCAGCGCGCTCGACGTTGTGGTGGTAATGTAGTCTCCCAATTGGGGCGTTTGTCCTTCTGTCGATCATCGCACAGCAAAATCTGCAGATTTGGACTTGGGGGCGCCCCTACTTTTTTTCTGAAGCCTCGTTTCTTTGGGCGGACGTCTCATGCGGCTGTTTGTTTCTATCTGGATTGACGATCTTATCAGCAGCTCAGGCTGTAGTCAGAGTAAGGAAAAAGCGTTGGTTTGAGAAAAGCGGGGAAGAGGAGGAGGGTTGGGGGCGACTGAAAGGGAGAGAAGGGGGAGAGGGGACGGGAAAGAGACCTCGGAAATGCGGGGAGGAGGGAGGGGTTTGCGGGGATGGGCTGAAGGTAAGGTGGGAGGGCGGGGTATCCTGACGTTTCCTTCAGTTTCTAAGCTATGCATCATGCGTATGAAGCCGTGCTCTCTTCAGTATCTATTCGGAGTCAGCACCTTCGAGCCAATCTTCGATCCGGCAGTGGTTTGTGTCTTGTAGTTTTCTAAACGCTTGTGTCTCCGCCCTTCAACTCGTCAGTACCAAAGCTCGCCCATCTCTCAATCCTGCGTGAGGTTGCCCCGAACCTTTCTCTTATTCTCTCTGCGGAGGGAGTGCAGCTCAGCAGAGCTTCTGCCTCAGAACCTCTTTTCGGATAGTCGCTTTCTATGGTCTCAACAAACGCTCTCCTATTCGCTCTTTCCAGGTGGGCACGAGCTCAGCAAGACCACTGGCAATGCGGGAGGCCGTCTTGCATGCGGTAAGCTTCGGGTCGCATTACTGCCATTTTCCAGGATTTCTTTTGGTTTTCTTTTCGGCAAGGTCGAAGGAGCTAGTTTAGGATTATGTGTTGGCTTTCATTTTGGCACCTTACACACACTCTGCTTGTCCTTGACGCGAATGATAGTCTGGCAGCCCTAGCGTTGAATTGAGTATGTACTAGAATTTTGGCATCGAGTTCGTAAGTCAGCGGGCACCCTTCTACTTGTATCCCTGGAAACAAAGAGCATTTTGGGCAATTATGGCAGCAGCTGGTCCCCTTGTCTGGGCCCGCAGTGCCCGCGAGCTAAGTCGTAGTTCCCATGCAAAAACTGTCCAGGCAGAGAGTCGCTCGCTGAATGCAAAGTTCTCTTATCCAGTGAACTCCCATTTGCCTCGTCGTTGCAGGAGTCGTTGGGTTAATGTCTCCCGTTTGACCGGCTAGGCCGCTAGGGACATAGCATGTGGGCACTGCTTTTCGAGTAATCGTAAAATGAGATCGTTTGTCGACTCTTGTTTAGGAAGTACCTAGTAGAATTGCTGCAAGTCTCAAGACCGCTCTTCATACTTGTGTTGCAGGCGTCGTTGGACTGGCTCAAGCTTAGTCTGGGCGGCGTAAAAGGAGCTTAGCAGCCTGTATAAAGTCTCTTAAGCCATAAGCTGCATAAACAAGGAGCGTTCTTTTTGTACTTGGCCTTCGGTAACCCAGATCGGCAAGATCGGCCACCATATCAACCGCTCACGGAAACCGTTGAGTCAGTAAAAGTTTGGCTTTGCCATCCGGACAATTTCCGTGTATGTCTGAGCATGACCTGAGAAAGGGAAAACAAACTTTGCTCGACGAAATGACTTAGCCTACTAGAAGACATCGTCCGAGTCTTGGCACGGGGTGTATCTTTGTGCACTTTGGCACACACAATAGTAGTCGGAAACCGTCATGTGCAGCCCCGCTGGATGTTATATTTATGTACGTACGGTTTGCCGATATTCGCTAGTTTCTTTCCGTCACTCTGATACTGTACTCCGCCCAGGGTTTTTGGCATCTGCACTCAATTTGCCTTCATTGAATCATGCATTCCCGAGATTGAATTGCATGAATCATACAGGCATATAGCTCCGCTCATTGCTTGATTTTAACTTAGACGATCCGGTTGTCCCTGTACTAAAGTTAGGAAGCCTGGCTCGCCGCGCGCGGCGTCCCATATCCTCCTGGATCGATCCCCATATACAGCCGCGGGCTCATATTATCAAGTGAAGTGTAAGGCTGGTTTATTGACACTGTCAGAATCATGCAGATTCAGCAATGAAGTAACAATATGTACATACGTACGTAGCTAGATCATTCCTCCCGGCCGCCCGCCGCTGCCGCGGGCAGCTAGGTAGCTAGACACTAGGTAGAATTGCTTCTGACAGTTGTCGGATGCATGACGCGGCGGGCCGGTGCTATTGTGCACATGCTGCGCCTGGCTATGGCTAGTCAGAGTATAACTTAGTAGTGGGACTGAGAGCTTGACTGGGCGCGCCGGCCGGTTCCAAATGATCAATCTAGTACTACTAGCTGTATAGGTAGCTTGATTCACCCGTTGATTCATGAGACAAGCCTGTACTGCACTGTACGGTAATCTGCATGGGCCGGGCCTCAGGCGCGGCCGGCCAGGGTTGCGCATGCAAGGGTTTATGTGCACGGCCGCGCCGGCCCGTTCAGTTGACCCGGCCGGCCGGCCAGCCTGCATGAGTGCAGTGCGGCCCGCGGGCGCCTCAGGCTAGCGCCCATGCAGCTAGGCGGCGCCTTAAGTTGCCTTCGGTCGGAGTGCGCGATCGGTTGACTACATCGACGATCGTGACTTTCGTCAAAAGCTCTAATTTGCGCGCGCGCTTGTTCCCTGTTGCCTGCTTTTCCAACAAATCAACGCACACATGTCAAGCTCGTCAATCTCGAGCTCTTGTCTCCACTTTCACGTCAACCTCGTCAATCTCAACGTACATTGATTCTTGAGCTGACCAAGTGTTTTATGAATGCGTTGGCGCTTGTCTTCGTTTTCTCAGCCCTTGTGAATCATTCTGTTCGCTAGCTGAGCTTTCTTCTGCAACGGCGACATCGGCGGCAATGGGCAGGCTCGATCAATATCAAGTGTGGTCTCCAAAGAGAGGAAGACAGATGGAAAGCCCCTAGGCTGGTCACGCGACACAAATTGTGGGCTTTTCTGGAAAAGAGACACACGTGCTTCATCTCGGCGCTAAAGGGAGCTGAGAGCTGAAAAGTTGAAGAAGGTGACAGGCTGTAGCAAGGTCTTAGCTTGACAGGCAGGCGGTTTCGAAGCTAGATCCACCAGCTGCTTTAGTCCACTGATAGCCTGCTCATTGACAGCGTTTGGGGTTTGGCGATGGCAAAGGTGGACATCCCGTATACGGTCAAGTTTCACTACAGGTGAGCTGTATCCCTGCTTCTGATTCCAAATGTAAGGTTGTACTAATAGAGGGCAATCATGAGTCGAAAACTATTTCAGACTTGAGTTTTGAGAAGCTGTCATGGAGGGACTCTCAACCTGAAAGAAGTGGTGCTTTGCTGACACAAGTCATGCTGATGCTTAGTGCCTGCTGTGATCCGCACGTTGACGGTGCTGGCTTCTGGAATGAGCTTGTTTGCAAATCTTTCGCTTGGACTGAGCAAGTCTTTTGAATGAACTGCGTGGTATGAGCTGAAGCTGCTCTGCAATGCAGGAAGGCAAAGTCGTGGGTGAGGTCAAAGTACTCAGCCATCGTCAAGCCTTACGGTGAGCTGCCATGTGTAGGATGCACCACTATTCTGTGTCGCTTGGGGTACACGGCAGAAGAGTTGTCTTAGGTGTCTTAGATTTCCGTAATACCGCACTATAGATTGGCGGTCACTCAAGCGATTCATGAGCCAACCTTGAAGAAGCAGACGAAGGCACGAGTGCAGAGATTTTGTATCCCAATGCTGTCTTTGCATAATCGAGTCCAGCTCATGTTTGGCCAACACTATGTTCTCCAGGCAACTTGAAGGAAGTGCAAGGCTTGAGTCCCAGGACACCAGACTACGGCAGAACTCCCTCCCTCCCTTACAAAGGCGCACCGAACGCTGACTCTGCACCTCAGTCCCCACAAGCGCCACGGTCAAACGTTCAAGTTTCATCAGCAGTTCATCCAGAAGAACAAAATCAAAGGCAGCTCCAAGTGTACTCCCCACCAAAGTAGCCAAGTGTGTATATCTTCAAGCCTGTAAATGTTCTAGTTTAGAGGTGTTGAGCGACAATTGCAGTTGGACTGTACAATACATGCAGAGTCCCGAATCATGTTGATTAGCTAGGCAGGAAAGTGGAACTTCAGCATTTGCCCAGAGAGAAGTTCATAAAAGCTAAAATTAGCCTCTCACCGTGACTGTCAACACCACATACATTCTGATCATTGGATGGACATCTGCAATCTGGAGGATGAACGTCTTATAGATTAGTTTCTAGCCTAGCACTGTTACTTGGACACAAGGTAGCCTGATATAGGTTGCAATGGCCCTTTCAACGTCCTTGTCACGAGCGGCAGCATGGACGCCTTGTATTTGGCTGTTCCTTGTTGCATTCTGCAGCGTGTGCATAGAGACACAGGTAGAGGGAGCAAGTGGGACAGGCTTTCCGGTCAGCTTGCCCTGTGCTGCTGGCACATACTTCGACACCTCAGGGTGAGGCTTCCACCAGCCCCTCTGCTTTTTCGTAACGTTGTCATGTTCTGTTTTTCCAGACTTCAGGATCTGGTTGGAGACGTTCAATCTGTTATCTACCGCAGCTAGTACCCATAGGTGAAGTGTTTTGAGCTTTGAAAATGCATCGTTAGCCTGCACTTATGGCAGATCCCAATCAGGAAACGGGTTGTTTTGCTGCGAATCCACCCATCTTATGATCAGCTTGCGGTTACACTCCTTCTATATCTCAAATGTCAGTTAGCCAGCCCCATGCATTGCCTGCTTCGCTTTGATACCTTCTGCTAGCTCCTCATATTACTTCTGCCCTTGCAGCCTAGTCTGCCGAGCGTGCGGCCAATTCCAAGTTCTTCTACCAGATGGATCAGGATGCAAGTGTAAAGCTGGTTTCGCTTTCCTGGCCGACTCGACTGGAAAGCAGTCGTGTCAGTCGTGCTTGATCAAGGGTCAGGTTGCTTCTAGTGACGGCACTGTTTGTGTCGGTTGTAATTCTACTCTAGGGGCTGTCCTGAACACTGCTACTGGGGAGTGTGAGTGCTCTGCAGGAAGCGCTCTCGGTGAGTCTTAACAATCGGTGCTCTTTCCCTTGGCTTCATTTCTCTAGCTGTCTCGATCCAGCACCTCTTGCAGAGAAACAACTTTGCGTAGCTTAACGGACTGCACAGTCTCCAGCTTATCGAAAGGGTCAGTTAGTGCAGCAAAAGATGATAGCAATCACATGATCTGCAACAGGATATATCGTCTTTCCAGTCCTCGTGCTTGTTGCACGAGAGCAGCTACCATCAATCACATCTGCAAAACTCAATACCGGGGTGTCTCCTTTCCGCTTGCATAACGCTTTCTTGAGAAGCCAACACCAGCAAGAAGCAATGAACCATGAACCAGCTTCTGTTGAATTGAAAGCACTACTTCTTCTTTCTTTCTTCACAGTTGAGTTCGATAACGCTGGGACCCGGCTACCTGCCAAAGCGTGTACGCAGTGTCCAGCAGGGGCGCATATCTCGTCCGTTGAGCCAGAATTATGTCAAGTGTGCTCCGGCGGTCAGGTACATTACCCTGCAACTGTCCGCTAAAGGCCCTTATCTCTTAGATCACCTCCAGTTGCTTTGAGATCAGCTGAACAACAGTGCTGGCCCTCTTGCAAGGCACCTTGCAGTGCAAAGGAGCTGGCTGTGAATTGTGCCCTGCCTGTTTCTTCAGTAATGCTACTCTTGACCGACAATGAAATTTCCGACATGCGTGATGCAGAACAGTTGAGGCTCATCAGGGAGAAGCTTCGGCCACCCCAATCTCAGCAGAAGCTCATTTTCGACGAAGTTAAGGTGGTCTTCTTTCTTCCTCAAAGTAGACTCAGCAGAATCGATAGCATGAAAAGCTCTGTTACTCAAGCCCTGCAGAAAATGATTCTTTCGTTTGAATTTTTTGTTTTGCTCCCCTTTAGGTCTTTGACACCAGCTCCCAGACATGCCAATGTCCAGTTGGGTCGAAGACGTGCGTACAAGGGAGCTCACTGCTGGCATCGACTGCTCAAAGGCTGGGTGTCAACATGGACGGGAGCACTTTGGTAAGCATTTCATTCGACGGCGATAACAACGATGTTCGTTTCGTTCAAGCAGATCGAGGTTACCTTTGGGACTGGGCTCCAATAGGCAAACCTCTGTCTTCTCTTGCCGTCTTCAGAACGGAACCGCCTTCCTTTGGCCGCCGAAGACCTTTAAGCTAGCTCTAGAGCTGTGCACTCTGAGGCGGAGCTTGTCGATGCAACAATTGCAACTCGTCCTGCATAACTCGCCCCGTGTAGGTGCTTCGAGATCTGCAGGTATGCAAGAAGGGTGTCGACCTGCTTGGAAGGACACAGGGCTAAGGTCGATCGCTTCGCTTTTCAGGACGATTCGGCTCAGATTTTCGTCGCATGTGTTTGCAGGTCAACTACTACGACATTCCCACGCCGTACGGAGGAGGCACGACCAAGTCACTCAACTCCGACCTCTTCGCTCAGATGCTGCCACTGGCCGCGACTTGCGCTGTGAGAGCGTGAACTAATCTGGTCATTGTGTTCGTCCGAGTCACTGTCAACCCTTAGACTTAGGAATGCATGATATCTGGACATATCTAAAAGTTTCTGGTTTGAGAGCTCAGATCCCTTTCATATGGTGCCTTGGATCTACGGTAACCCTTCAGCCCAAATTGCTTCGCTTCGACCCGCCGGCCTTGTCAGCAGATCCGCTCTGTAGTTTTGCAATCTATGTGCCAGCTCTTGGCATTCTGGAAGGCAGCGGATGCTTCAGCGTCTACCACTGCGCTCTAATCAAAGTATGATCGAAGACAGACCGGAAAAAGAAAGAAGATCATGCGTGCAGTGATTCAGCCCCGCTTTGATACCGGTGTCCTCCATTCAGGCGTCCGGCGACCGCGCGGCTTGCAACGCGCTCGCCAACCTATGCGTGCTAGAGCTGTACGACAGGAGCAGCGCTGCCTGTGAGCTTTACAACGCGCTCGTCACGTCTAAGCAGAACTCCGGACAGTATCACACTACGGACGGCTGGTGAGTCTTTTGAGCGGTGCGCAAAATCTTGAGCTGCTGCCTGAAGCATTCTGGGTCAACGTTCACCTTCGCGTTGGCGATGCAGCTCCAATGGTCAAGATCTGATCCAATGGACAAATTGATACCCCAAGTTTCATCCAGGAAAAAGGCAAGCAGCTAGAAACCTAGCAACCAAAAGGTTTGGGAAGTGCAGCAGATTTGCACTTTGACAACTGGACCCGTAAGACCAATTACGTCCGTGTACCTTCCTAGGCAAACTCTATTCAAGACAACCCGCTCCAACAAAACAGTAAGTATGTAAGATTTCACTGATCTGGACCGCGATCGTCATACAGGTCCGACACGCTCCCCTGGCTTTACTACTCGGGCGACGCCGAGAGCTGGCTCCGGAGGACGGACCTCCAGTCTTCAGTTTCCTTCCAGCACCAAGCGCCGGGAAGCTCGTCAGCAGCTGACGTCACGCTGGTCCTGTCGATGTTTACCTTGAACGGGACTTGGCTCGGCTTTCAGAACTTAACGAGGCAGTTTCAGGTAAGGTCCTCAATCGATGTGAGGACTTGCTCCGCCGTTTCGAAAGTGACAGAGTCAAACGCTTTTTGGGCGTTCTCAAGTGCGCCGATTCAACGAAGCTGGTCCCGTTTTCCTTCTACGTGAGTTGCAAAATCGCCCTATCATTGATCACCATATGCAAATGAAAAACACATGGCCAGGGGATATTGGCAAATCAGACAGCTTCCTCTCCAGAAAGGACATTCAAGTGGTGGCGAGCACTAATCAGCTTATCAAGCTTCTACGTCTTTCGCAGCTGTGCAATGGAAACGAAGATGACGTCAACCAGTGGCAGCGTATTGGGACCGATTACGAAAACAGCTGCGATCTGAAGCTGACAGCCGTCCAGCACTTTGAGCAGAGCGACGAGCCAATCTTCTACGATATTTGTATCCCTCTCGCACTGGATCAAAGTGCAGCTTCCCATAACCCCTGAGTGCTTCCCATCTAAGAGTTTTGGCAACTGCTTGGTTATCCAAGTTGCATGGGTTCTCCTTCATCAAAAGTCTTAGTCTCTCTTGTACCCCGTTCGTTTCTTTGCTGAACCTTTTGTGCGCATGCGAGTCCGCCTCACATGTACTGAGCGTTCACCCTTGACTGCAATCCTAAACCAGATTTCCAGGACGGCACGAACCTTTACCCAGTGCCTCTTCTGATGTTGGACTACCGGTCGCAAGGGAAGGTCGCGAACCATCCGCTAAGCAGCGGTCTCGCGGTGAATAACGTTCTCACCCGCCGCATGTTCCTCATGGATTTCGTCTCCGGCAAGGTGAGAGACTAACCTACTTCTACAACTGAGCTTTGAGAACCGCTTCAATTCGCAAATTGCTCGTTCCCATGACGGAACGCGTGCAGAGCTCCAATGCAGATTGAGAAAGTCCTCGAGATGACTTTGAGCACGGACACAATGATATTCTAAAAGCCAGACGGACTTCAAAGCTGTGAGAATGTAAGGCAAGAGCCAGGACCCAAGCCGGCGGTCGCAACACTCTGGCAACGTAGAGTCTCGGAAGGTACGTGCCACGTAGATTGTACCCTCGGTCTTCTGACGTCACTGGCAGCCATATAAATCTTCGACGCCGGACCGGTGTGTCCAATCAGCGGATCTTTACATCAGGGGCGCGTATGCGGGTCTTTGTTATCGGGCTTCCTTTCAATGGATGCTTCAAGTAGAGAAACGGTACTGCAGGTGGCAGGGGCCAAGCCTCAAGCAGTGCGATACGCGGAGTCGATTGAGCTTCTGATCACTCTTCAGCCGGGCACCAAGAGCCGGATCTACCCGCCGTCGATCACGGTCAAGTATGCGACTCGTGATCCGCAGTACGAGGGATCAGTTGCGAACCAGGTATGCAAACAGAAAATCAGTTCCAATTCGAAACGGCTTGTTGACTTGGTGGATACGAAGGATCGCCAAGAGGCGGCCCGCTGGCCGTTTCTGATTCAGTTGAGCTGGTGATTTTTAGCTGAGTCCAACTAAGCCGGTGTCTCCTCCTTTCAGTTGTTCAAGCACCCAGATCATTGAAAAATTGGAAATTGTTACCTTACAGAAGGCCAACCTTGGCCGTGGCAAAGTTGGGCAACTGAGCGACTCGATCCGACTTTATTTCTTCTGCAATCCGTAAGCATAGCCACTTGAACATCTTGCGCAGGGCTGACAGCGCGTCTTCTTCTCGGGTGCAGGCTTCCTTTTCGGTGCTTTACACCATGGGAAAATTCGGATTCTGGAGCGTGTGGACGATCATGATCATCATTTGCCTGGTCGTGTCCTTCTTCTTCTGGTGAGCTTCCACTCTGGCGTTCCCGCTTATGGAGATGCCGCGGGCGTTTTTCTCCACAACACTGACACCAACTTTCACCTCTCTGAAGTCACGAAAGCGACGGCTGGCCTCGTTACAATACAAAACCCTTGTCGAGGAAAGATATCAGACTTGTTTTGCATGAAAACATGGTGAGGGAAGCGCTTTCGCAAAAGCCTGTTCCTATACCTTGCTTCAGCAAGTTGATAAGTCATATCTACCATCTCGCGCAAAAAGGATAAGCAGCCGGTACAGTTTCCAAGCTCACCTAGTTTTTCCTGTCTCCCAGGTGCTTCCAGATGTTTTCGTACGTCCGAAGGCGCCCCGAGCAGCTGCTAGACCTTGTGTTTCTCTTGCGGGGCGTGATCGAAGCCGCGCGGATCGTTTCCCGGCTCTTCTTCCTGCTGAGCATCTGCGGGGCAGCCTACTGGTTCATCTTCTTCAAGATGCAGTCAGTGGTCTACGTCATGATGCCGACTGACAAGCAAGTCAAGTCGTTCCGCCTGGTGCTGATCGTCGCTTTCGTTGGAGAGGTCAGGTTCTCGACTTCTTGTGGGTCTCTAATTGATAACTCTGCATTTTCGATATGACTTTCTTGAGGAGACTGGCATCGGTGATGCCAAAGCTCCAGATCCGCAATCGTTTTCTAGCTTGTTCTTAACTGTTCTTTCGGAAGGCGTGCTATTACAGGAGTTCTTATCACTTGTCTCTGTCCTTGCTTATAACTAGGGCCCAGTTCAAAAACAACACTCGGAATTTGAGGTATCTAATACTGAAGTGCGTGCCTTCCACCGATGCAGCTCATCAACATACTGGACATTTTGTGGCGCCAGACCCACTACGACATTTTCTTTGTTGACTGGGAGAAGTCGAAGCTCACAATCGGACCGTCCGGAAACAAGGAGCCCGCCCCAGTCTCGGTCTGGCGGACGCTCTTCGTTGCCAACGAGTGGGAAGAGCTTCAGGTAAAGGCGGCTTTCGTGGATTCTGGAAGCTGCTTCCGATCTCTTAAGGGTGGATTTCCCTCCACAGCTTCTAAGTCAGCTCCTGATGTGGCTCTAAGTCCTGAATCTTACGTTCCCGAAACTTGCTCTTTCACTTGCTCTTGCTTAATCCTGCTCTTCCCGAAAATTTCTCTTGCTCTTGCTGCAAAATCTATGCATGGCTACCTCTACCAGTTTTCTCTCCTCTCCCAACGCTGTCACTTAGCTTCCCCACAACTGACACGTACCATATTCGCTTTCTTCCAGGTCAAGCGCCAGACGTGTATCGAATTCACGCTGTTTGCGCTTCTCTTTCTTCTCGTGGCGCTCCGCCTCGAGGGCCTGTCCAACATCCACCCCACCCTCTTCAGCCTGTCGCAAAAAGACTACTACCAAAGCAGCTGCATCCTCCGGTTCTTCATCAGCACGATCTTGTGGCTGGCAGTTTCTATACTCCAGGTGAAGATTTAAAATGAACCTGACAGTCGAGGGGCGCTGTTGTAAGAGCTAAACCACATCTGTTTCCCTGCAATTCTGCATCTCGCTCTAAGGGCGCAGGTTCTTCACGATCTGAGGTCAGGAGCTCATAATCAGCTTTTCACCCTCTCCGGTCCGCCAAAAGAAGAAGCATGGTCATATATTCCTTAGCTATCATTCCTCTGTTGTTCGGAAGCTTCCGTATTGGCGTTTACGGGCGGCAATGTCCGTATAGAAGAGCGTGGAGTGGCGGGTACTTCTCACTCAGCCAGTTAGAGACTCTCAATTTGGAGTCGCTTTTGTTTGCAGAGGCTCTTGACTACCACAATACTGCACCGCTACGTGGAAAATCCACTGATCCAGTTTGTCGACCTCGCCTCTCTGGCAAACGTCAGCGTCTTCATCTTTGAGGTGCGCGAGTCGGTGGCCCATCTGTAATTGTTGAGTGTTTTGTTGAGTTTTCTGCTGAGATTCTCACGCAGCTCGATCATTTTCCAGTATCTTACATTCACGATTGCGCGTAGGTTGTTGTTAAGCCATCACCGTAGCAATGCTTGAAGAGCTTGGAACTTGTTTCAAGAGATGCTTCACTTGGTCTACAAAAAGGGTTATGCAGTTGGCCGCTGAACCAAATCAGGTTTTTGGGCGCATCAAAGCAGAAATTTTTCGACAGTTGCAAGCATTTGAGTTTCGCTCCCTCTCCGCTTGCAGGACCTGCTTTGTGGCTACTATATCCACGGCCGCTCCCTAATGACTTTTGCGGACACGAGTATGCTCGTCCTGAACGCTGAGCTCAGGAAAGAACAGGTAAGCTAGGCAGGATCATTTAGAACGCTGCCCGTTGAGATGACTATCAGAGCCGATATCTTCTGATCCTGGTTCCGCCGACCGCTGGAAAGAATTTAAATTGAGGGCCAGAAACCGCCTTTGAACTGAACTGCAAAACCTCTGCCGCTGTTACAAAAGTGGCCTCAGACATTTTCACTGTGCGGACGTCCACGTGACGGCGGCACGCAGAAAGATCTCTGTCTGGACATTAGAGAAACTGGCGGATCGGTTGTATCCAGATTGATTGGAAGGGTCGTCCACTGGCATCAACAATCACCTTCAACGGATAGAACTACTTTTTTGTTAATCGCAAGAAGTCTTCTATTCCAAACTGAGACGTTGGAGCGCCATCTGAGCTCCGTCTGTTTTCGAAGTGAACTGGCTCACCAAATAAGACACTAAAACCTTGAATCTGGTTCGCTATTTCGCAGGAGGGCGTCGTCTCCAACCGGGGCCTCTTGTCGAGCGCCAAGAAAGAGCTAGCGGACAGCCAAGTCTTCGAGATCTACATCACCTCTGAGCTGCGCCAAAAGTACGACGCAAAGTTCCTTCGAAGAATCAGTGAGGTACGTCCATCCCTCAGGCCTCGAGAACATCACAGCTTCTCGTCTCCCAGACTTTGCTCCAAAACCTGGAATTTTGTTGCTACTTTGAATTGAGTTTCAGGCTGGCGAGACGCAAGGTTTGAAGGCTTCTCACCTGCTGAAATATGGTGAGAATTCTTTGCACGGCAGTTCAGGCCCGTTCTATTTTTTGGATGCGGTCCGCGGCCGCGCGCAATGAAGCTGCACGCAACACGTACGCGCGACGGCCTAGACACGAACTCTGGAAGCGGGTCGTTTAGACTGGCCCGTGATGAGGACGGTTTTGAACGACCCAGCTCGTGCGGTCCACAGGTACCGGCCCTGCCACGCTCAAAATCCCGAGGCGCTGAACGGGGCGCTCAGTCCCAAATCGTATCCGAACCCGCAAAGCAGGACGCGCGCGTGGCGACGCGCGCGGCGGCTTACCTATTTCAATCTCGAAGTGAACCCATAAAGTGTTCGTATCTGCAGAACAGCCCCGGCACGCTCGCCAGCCCGGGGGAGCCAATCGGAGAGCTCATCTCCACACCATGTCCTTAACCCTCAATGGAGCGCGCTTCTCGCTCAAAAGCTTCAGGAACGATTCTGACATGACGTACGAGCTGACTGCCGAAAATAACAGCGCCCGTTCTTGACCTGCAGACCCGCCCCGACACGCTCGCCAGCCCGGTGGGGCGAACCGGGGCGCTCATTGAGAAATGGTTCTCACAATTTCCAGACCTGTGCGCGCACCAGAGGTTGAGGACGCCGACCAGAAGCCCTTCGTTGGGTTTGAAAGTTCATTGCGTGCCGCTTTTTGATCTGCAGAACCGGCCCCGCCACGTGCGCCAGGGGAAGCCAACCGGGGCGCTCGATTTCCTATGGATCTCACACAGAGTCTGCAGCGCACCAGATCCGGAGAAAATGACCAGAAGCGCGTCGATTGGTTCAAAGATTGATTGCGTCCCGCGTTTTTGTTTGCAGACCCGGCCCCGACACGCTCGCCAGCCCGGGGGAGCGTACCGGGCGGTCCACGAGCTGCCGGAGGACACCATGATACGCGCCCAGGAGGAAATTGCCAGCCTGTTCCGTAACTTCGTCAACCAGATGGAAGCGGAAGTGTCGAAGCGGATCGTCGTCAAGCGGACGTTGCAGAAGCTGCTGGACATGCCGCCGGACATGGCGGCGCAACGGAGCCCCATCTTTTACCACGGTGAGAGCCACTCGTCGACATAGCAATCTCCCATTCCCTGTGCGGACGGCGATCCACACAAGGGTCAGGTTGTGACTTCAAGCGGTGCGAAGGCAGGGCCGTGAGCTCAAACCGCCTACCGCCGAGATGTTTCCGTGTCCACTGCGTGCTTGGATATAATGGATGCATCCGCTTTATGAAGTTTTCAGCATGGTCATTCTAAGATGCAACAATGATGACTCTGAAAACGGAATCGCTTTCGTTTCTCAATAACTGCTTCTCTTTGCCCTTGGTAATTCAAATGAACCCTTTTTCAATGGTTTTCAAGAAAGTGCGAGACAAAGGTCCCTTTGTTCATGTAAGCAGCGGTCGTTTTACTTGGTGCTTTCTGAGACGCATCCCCGGTACGTGGGGAACGAGGGGTTGTAAAACGATCTTCTGAGAGCTTCTGTGATGTTCGAAACACATCTGTGGGGAAAGGAGGGGTGGAAAAAAAAATTTGAGAGCTCCTTTTCCAGATGAAAATTGCGACATCGTTCTGGACGCTTTTTAAATACGGACTCTACTTTGCGACAGAAGGCAATCACACTGAAAACTCTTTTTTTCTGGCACAGATTTCTCGAACCGTTTCGGAAGGGTCACGTTCTACGGGATTGAAGGTCACCTAATGATTTTCAACATCATGGTATTTACGATGGCTGATCTCTGCTTCAAAAGCACGACAATCGCTCTGTTTGTAACGTATCTTGTAGAGCGTCTTCTAAAGTTTGTAAGGAGTGCATTAGGTCAAGCTAACACGTCAAGGAAGAGCCTGATAGACTCTAGATTCTTGATCTGAGAAATTTCTAAGGAGGCAGCTATAGAAAAAACGAGATTGAAGAAGGGAGCACCCTGTGCAGCGCGGCGCGCTAGCTGTACGCGAGACGTGGCACGGCCTGGATAAACGTGGTTAAGGAATCATGCACTCAATTGAAGGCCGCCCGCCAACCACTGGCATGCCAACACATATTTCGGCCCAATGCTTAGATCCAATCACATATACTCATCAACGCCGTGCCGCTTACAAACTAAAAGCTTCGCGTGAATATGTGAAATTTGAAGGATACTTTACATGCTTCAACGATACTGGTCGGACTGTGACCTGCCGTATTTAAGGTCCATTCCGTCAGCTCGTAGGCGACACTAATCGTGATCTCATCATCATTGTGGACGTGAATAACAAATATCGACAGTCACGGCGCCTTTCAGATGCAAACACATTGAAGCAAATGGAAGTCTATGCAGACGGTGAGCCGCCTGATTGCCTTGAGCGGGCCGTGAATATGACTCACGTACCGCCCGCTCGGTTCATGATTAGATCATGTCGCATACACTTAAGCTGCTACGATACTTACATGCATACAGATCATTAACTACGCTTGCTTCTATCTATCATTGAACAGATCTGGATTCGTGACCATAGCAAGCGCCTCGCACCCTCAAGCGTCGGCACAGGAAAAGGCCGGGTGATGGTAGAGACTGAAAGGGGGCCATGAAAAGCTTCTTACTCGAGTTTAATCTCTTCAGCTCGGAGAAATCAAATGCACATGATCCATGATTTCGGTGGGATGCAATCACACGTCCCCTCAGCCTAGTTCTCCACTTTTAGGTCCTCGGAAACAATATCACGTTTGCGTTTTCACAACCAAATAAACCAAGGTGACGAAACAGCTTTCAAAACAGCGATCTCTTGATCTCTAAATCAATAGATGGATCTGTCAAGTAATTTCGAACCTGAGCTAGATGCTGTCCTGCGGCTAGCTAGCTCATGCTTTGGATACTACCATCTATTTGACTGTCGAGGCAGAGTCAACCCGGCAAAGTGGACAAAAAGCTAGATAAAAACCTGATCAGCATAAATTATGGGGGACTATCTATCTATGATCATAACGCAAACCGGATGTGCCACCGCTAAATCTTGTCCTGAGAACGGAATATATGATCTGGTTAGTGCATTCTGACGGCTAAGCTGAAGGACCGTTTCACGAAGCTACTTTTCAAGCTGATATCCACGTCCTCTTTGGCGCCAATTATGCGTACAGAGAATCCTGAAAAGTCGGAAGGATCACTCCTGCCGTTTCTTCCGCTTCCCGCACGCTACCATCATTACCAGCCCGCTTAAAACGAACAGACCTGCAACGGCCCCCACTAAAGGCGCCAAGTATCCGTTACTTCCAGCGGTCTCAGCTGATGGGGGGGGCGACTGTTCAATCACAGGGGGGGCTGGCGGAGGGGGTAAGGAGGAAACGCTCAAGAGCATGTAGACGCTATTCCACGTGCCCTTCCCCAGGTTACCCAAAGCCATAGTCTGCGCCGTGGCGTTGTAAGCGAGCGTGATGTTGTGGGGAACCTGAGTCCAGACACATCCGTCGAAGCCCGTGACCTTGTTCAGTTGTTGCGGCGTGCAGTTGCTGTACCGGAAAGCTGAAAGGAAGAAGGAGTCCACGCCCGCATCGCTTACGCCCCCGAACATAAGCGTTCCGTTGTTGGGTGCAAATGTCCGGTTCCCTTGCTTCAGGAACAAGAGACCTGATGCTACGGGCGCGGTTACTGTCGCTTCCGTTGGCGTTATGTCCGTTAGGAGCCTCCGACGAGAACCGCTTCCGCCGGAACCGGAATCCGTCGGGTCGACGGGCTGTATCTCCCCGGGAAAATAAGCAGCAAAAGCGGTGATGCCCTCGGTTCCAGAGACGGACGCCTCGTAACCAAACACCCCCCCCATTTCCATGCTTCCGGCTTCCCCCTGAATGCTGCTCACGTTCGCGGGATCGACCGTCACGGTACTGCTCGGCACCACGATCTCCGCTTTCTTGAAGAGGTACAAACCGTAAAGCCCCCCCCAATTCTCCGGGTGCAGTGCTGACGTGGCAGCCGTGCTCGTGATTGCGTCATACCGCGCGTAGAGGCCCGCGAGCGTCACACGCCACGCGCACCCGGGCGCGGTCGCGCCGGCCGCCGCTTGCCACGCGTCGCTCGCGGAGCAGCCCATCGTTTGGGCGCCGGCGATCATGTAGACGGATCCACTGGGCGCCGGGCCGGACACCAGAAAGGACAGCATGCCGGAATCAGGTGCGAAGAACAGGGCGGAACCGGAACCGTCTGCCGGCGTTTGCGTCAGGAAGAGCGCCGCGCATGCGATGTACGAACTCGCGGCCGCGACCGCGCTTGTGAAAAGGGCGGGTGGGGTGTGCCCGAAGTCGAGCGATCTAATCGCAATCGGAGTCATTGCGGACGTGATCGAACCCCCGTCCATAGAATCCATGTTTTGGCCGCTCGTGAGAATCGAGAATGCGATGCTGCCGTTGCCGGTACCACTGCACGATTCGACGTAGTTCGGGTCGCAGGGCGCGTGAGGGGGGGGCGGAACTGCTTGGAACGGAGGGGGGGGAGATGAAGATGGAGGCGGCTGGTTTGGCGGCGGCTGTAACTGGGGAGGC